ATATCACATAGGTAAGAAAATAAGATTGGTTTATTTTTCCAACAAAATATTTTCTGCATCAAAGTGAGTGATGGCCTTCAACATAGTCACTTCTACATGGTAAGTTGTATTCTGTAACTGACTTGCCACACAAGAAAGCGAATCACATTATTTACTTCATTTCTTGTTTTTGGAACAAAAAAATAGTGACCCAATGCAGTATTTCACCTCATTCTCATGCATCACATGCAGGCTTGGAAGTAATTGGATTTTCGCTGTTCTCAAAAATCAAATTCATCTTCAGAGAATCAAGTTATATTTCATGGAAGACATTAAAGGAGACTGCACCTCTACCCCACACTCCTGCATGTCCACAAAGCAGAGCTTTATATGAATTTGCCTATAGTTATACAAAGCCACTACTTCAAGGGACAGTTTTCCTTTGGACATAACAGATATTTACTTAAAGTAATTAGCTTTGTCACTCCATAGGCACACTGTATACTTTATTGAAGGGCTTCTCTACCCAGCCTAGGCTAATTTATCACATATTTTAAGTATGTTTTATTGATTATGTTATTAGAGTTGTCTGATATTTTTTTCTCCCCTTTACACCCTTCTGCCCTGAACCCCCCATGCCCTCAGCATCACCCCTCATATTAGTTCATGCCCATGGGTTGTACATATAAGTTCTTTGGCTTCTCCATCTCCTATACTATTCTTAACCTCCCCCTATTTTTTACTAACCAATTATGCTTTATATTCCATGTACCTTATCCCCCATTCTCCCCCATCCCCCTCCCCACTGATAACCCTTCATGTGATCTCCACTTCTCTGATTCTATCCCTCTTCTGGTTGTTTGCTTAGTTTGTTTTGTTTTGTTTAGGTTCAGTTGTTGCTACTTCTGAGTTTGTTGTGATTTTATTGTTCATAATTTTGATCTTCTTTTTCTTAGATGAGTACCTTTAACATTTCATATAATAAGGGCTTGGTGATGATGAACTCCTTGAACTTGACCTTATCTGGGGAGCACTTTATCTGCCCTTCCATTCTAAATAATAGCTTTGCTGGATAGAGTAATCTTGGTTGTAGGTCCTTGCCTTTCATGACTTTGAATACATCTTTCCAGCCTCTTCTTGCCTGCAAGTTTTCTTTTGAGAAATCAACTGATGGTCTTATGGGGATTCTTTTGTAGGTAACTGTCGCCTTTACTCTTGATACTTTTAAGATTCTCTCCTTATCTTTAATCCTGGGTAATTTAATGTTAATGTGTCTTGGTGTGCTTTTCCTTGGGTCCAACTTTTTTGGGGCTCTCTGAGCTTCCTGGACTTCGTGGAAGTCTATTTCCTTTGCCAGACTGAAGAAGTTCTCCTTCATTATATTTTCAAATAAATTCTTGGTGTCCTGCTCTTCCTTTTCTCTTTCTGGCATCCCTATGATTCAGATATTGGAATGTTTAAAGTTGTCCCCCAGAGGTCCCTAAGCCTCTCCTGATTTTTTGAATTCTTGTTTCTTCATTTGGTTCTGTTTGAATGTTTATTTCTTCCCTTTGTTCCAAATCATTGATTTGAGAACAGAAAATCCTGGTTTCCTTTCCTTCACAGTTGGTTCCCTGTACATTTATCTTTATTTCACTTTGCATAGCCTTCACTTCTTCCTCTATTTGTATTCATAATCATTTCTGTGAGCATCCTGGTTACCAATGTTTTGAACTCTGCATCTGGTAGGGTGGCTATCTCCTGGTCACTTAGTTCTCTTTCTGGAGTTTTGATCTGTTCTTTCATTTAGGACATTTTTTTTGTCCCAGCACACCTGCTATGTGGTAAGGGTGGAGCTTCAGTTATTTGCCAGGATGGGGCCACCTACTTCACTGCCTTGTGGTTCTGTATGTGGAGGAGTAGTCAGAGAGAGAGCACTGTCACTTGCTTGGCCCTCACCACACTTTCAGTCACTTCCCCTGCTACCTGCAAGCAAATCTGGCCCGTCTAGTGCCAATTCCCACATGGTTGGGTTTGTGTACCTTATAGGACTACTTGCGTGTCTCCAACAAGCTCTCCTTTGAGGCTGTTAGTTTATTCCATCCCCATGACCCCCAGAGGTTTTTACAACCAGAGGCTTTAGTTTCCCTTCACTGGAACCCTGGGTTGTGTGGTCTGTCTTGCTCCCCATTTGTTCCTCCTGGCTTATCTACACACAACTGTGGGACCACTCAGTCCCCAGCAGCTGCCTCACCCCATGGGTCTGTCACCTTGCTGCATGTCCTCTCCACCCTGCTTGTCTATCTCCACTCCTCCTATCAGTCTGGATGAATGTTTCTTCTTTAACTCCTTGGTTGTTAGACTTTCCACACAGTTTTACTTTCTGACAGTTCTGGTTGATTTTTGTTTTTAAATTTGTTGTTGTCCTTTTGGTTGTTGGAGAAAGCAGTATATCCACCTATGCCTCCATTTTGGCTGGAAGTCTGTTTACTCTAATTTATCACATATTTTTAAGTAAATGTGGTATGACAGCCATTCTTTCCACTACTAACAACAGTTGGAAGTGGCAAGTACAGAAGGCAATATGAAAGAGATTGGAAGCAGTTAAATGAGAGCAACTGCCCCATTCCACCTCTCTTCAGTCCTAAAGAGGATGTAGAAGAATATCATAGAATGACAGATGGTAATTGAATGATAGTCTGTCAGAAAACATGGGAGCTGGAAGGAGAAATTCTAACCAAGAGTCAGGAGTAGCTCTGGGTCTGAGTGAGGCAAGTGAGGTCATTAGGATTCAAAGTATAGGCCATTAGGAAACACCTACTCTCCATTGCTAATCTTGCACTTACATGACCCTGAGAGTGTGCCTTAGGTGTTTCACTTGCCTCACCTTACTCTAGGCACTGGTGAGGTGGGGAGCTGATATCTACTTTATCTTTTGCTACGGACTTTCTAAGCAATTCTGGACAAATTAGAGGTTAATATCATGCAACTTCAAATTCCTTACATGTAAAATGGAAATGATGCCTGCAATACTTTTACTGTATGACTATGTTTTCTAAGCCATATACATTTATATTATCATTCTTTTCTTTTTTAAATTTAATCATTATTGTATTTTTTATTACCATTTAGCCCTCTTGTGCCTCCTCCCCCCAGCATTCACCACACTGTTTTCCATGTCCATGAGTCCTATTTCCTTTTCGTTCAATCACTCCACCCCCTAACTTTCCCCACCCCCTGAACTAGCTGTCATTCAGCTATCCATTTATTTGTCTGTGTCTGTTTTGCCTGTTAGTTCAGTTTGTTCATTAGATTCCACATGAATGAAAACACATGGTATTTGTCTTTCTCTGACTGGCTTATTTCACTTAGCATAATATTTTCCAGGTTTATACACTGTCACAAATGGTAAAATTTTCTTATTTTTTATGGCCAAGTAGTATTGCATGTAAATATCCCATAGTTATTATATCTACTCATCTATTGATGGACACTTGGGCTGCTTCCATACCTTTGTGATTGTAAATAATGCTGCAATGAACATATGGGTGTGTATATATATTTTAATTTAGTGTTTTGGGTTCCTTCATATATGTTCCCAGAAGTAGTGTCTCTGCGTTGCCCTTAAGATCAAGAAGAACACAGGGATGTCCACTTTTACCTTTCTCATTCAACATAAGACTGGAAGTCCTAGCCACAGCAATCAGACAAGAAGAAGAAATAAAAGGTATCCAAATTAGAAAGAAAGAAGTAAAACTGCCTTTATTTGCAGGTGACATTATACTGTACATACAAAACCCCAAAGATTCCACCAAGAAACTTCTAAAACTCAAAAATGAAATCAGCAAAGTAGCAGATACAAAATTAATATCCAGAAATTAGTTGCATTTTTATATGCCAATATCAAACTAATAGAAAAGGAAATTAAGAATACAGTCCCACCCTGGCTGGTGTGGCTCAGTGGATTGAGTGCAGGCCTGTAAACCAAAGGGTTGCCTGTTTGATTCTCAGTCAGGTCATGCACCTGGGTTGTGGGCAGATCCCCAGGTAGGGGCACATGAGTGGCAACCACACATTGATGTTTCCCTCCCTCTCTTTCTCCTTCCCTTCCCCTCTCTCTATTATATATATATATATATATATATATATATATATATATATATATATATACACACATATACATATATATGTATGCATATGTATATGTATATATTATATATACACATACACATAATATATATAATTTATATATATACATATAGACGCAATATATATACTATATATATATATATATATATATACACAATTTTTTAAGAGTGCAATCCCATTGACAATTGCTTCAAAAAGAATAAAATACCTAAGAATAAATCTAACCCAGGATGTAAAAGACCTTCCATTATTTTCAAAGTAGAACAGTTAAAAAAGAGTTAAAATAGAGGCTAATTGAATATATAGGTTTATCTGCTTCTCTCAACCAGTACTAGAATTTTTCTAGTATTTCACTATAAATTCTGCTTTCAGCTTCTTATGATTGGTCTAGTTTTTTATTGGAAGGGAAGGTTTACCTAATATTTTTTATGTAAAGGATTGAAAAATAACTAAATAAAATTTTAAAAAAAGGATTGAAGGCTATAGTTTGATTTTCAGGGATCATTTATCTACTGAAATTCCAGTTCACCTTGATCTCCAGTCAAGATTTTCAGCTACTCTGCACAAGAAAAGCATTTTAGTAGTTTAAAAAAATGGCATGACAGGTGTGGCTCAGTTGGTTGGGCATCATCCCACAAAGTGAAATGTTGCTGGTTTAATTTCTGGTCAGAGCACATGCCTGGATTGGGGCCTGGTCACAGGATGGGGCACATGTGAGAGGCAATCGATTGATGTTTCTCTTACACATCGATATTTCTCTCCCTCTGCCTTTCCCTCTCTTTCTCCCTCCCTTCCCCTTTCTCTAAAAATAAATAATAAAATTAAAATCTTAAAACAAAACAAAAAACTTATGACCATGTTTCTTTCTTAATGTATGTATTTTCCATTGGCAGAATCGCATCGCAAAACGCAGCAGGAAGCTAGTTGACTATGACAGTGCCCGCCACCATCTGGAAGCTTTACAGAGCTCTAAGAGGAAGGATGAGAGTCGAATCTCTAAGGCAAGGATTGATTCCACTGTTGAAATCACTTTATACTCTGTGACCTATAGCAATTTTGTTGTTAAAAAAGGATATATTTTATTTCTAAAGGACATTGGAATCAGGACAGAATTTAAAATGAAATATGGTGCTTATGGGCTACTTTCCGTAATTTTAAATTAAAAATAAGTTTTTTGATGTTATTGTAGAGCTCCCATAGTGACACTGACTTGTATATTTTGATTAGAATAACCTTTTTCCCCCAACAATACTGTACCAGGGAAAGTAAGAAGTGTTCTTATACTTCTTACTGTGGTTGTGGTGCATACTTGATGCTTATTATATACAGATTCATATAGGAAACCAAGTTTGAAAATCTAAGATATAACTTGTGATTGTCTGAGAGTACAAACATGTGCTAGATTTGCATGACATTCTTTTTGTTTAGAAAACCCATTTCAGTAACTTTAACAGTATAAGTTAGCCATTTACAGATGCCAGTTAATTGATGACTCCTCATAAACTACTTCCTTTTTTCCCCATCTTACTTCCTCCTGTCTGCCTACACACAGCTGTCTAGTATTTCTACATCACATATTTAGATATGATTCTCCACTGCCTAAGTCTTTTGATGGCTCCAATTGCCTGTAGAAAAATTCTAGATTCCTTAGCATAGTGTATGGGATCTTCTGTATTTGGTCGTGACTCACTCATCCATTCTTATCAACTTCCATGTCTTTGTTTTTCTCTTCTTCTTCCATGCGCACATCCTAAACTAGAGCCTTCCTGACTTACATATAAATTCCTGAGCTGCCACAATAATAGCTGTTACTCATGTGAGGCCTCATAGAAACCAGATACCATGTTTAACACTTCATCTATATCATCTTTCCTTAATACTCATAATGCCTGTCAGGTGGGCATTGCTTTTTTTCATTTTGTGAAAAAGGTATCTGAAGTAAAAATCAATATGACATGTTCACAAGGTTAGTACAGCAAAATTCCAACCCAAGGAACTTCACCTTTATATACAGCAATGCCTTATCCGCCCTCTTCTTTAGCAAACATTTACTAACTTTTCAAAACCCAGTTAAAAAATATCACCTTCTCTGTGGAACATTTCTGTTCTCTGCACCATCTTCCCCAGCAGCATACTCCATAACTTTATAAGCCCTATCTTGCAATGTTATTATTTAGACTTTCCACTAGACTAGGAATTTTCATATGGGGAGGCATCCATTTTCAGTATCCAGAGCAGAGCAGTGTGTGACAGGCAGTTATCACATTTTTGTAGAATGAATGAATCTGCTGGGTAGTGTAAGAACAACCATTGTAGTCAATTCAGTTTTCTTGTTTTTAATAAGAATTAATATTTCATATTTATTGGAAAAATGTAGGTATTAAGCAGACTAATTTTTCTCCTACCCAAAATGTTTCTAGGATGCCATAAAGCTATTTCTTTTTTTATATTATACAATTTGGTTGTGTATAGAAATGGCTTGTGTTTATGTAGTTTTTTTTAGTATTAACATGTTACATGTCATTTCTAGGCAGAAGAGGAATTTCAGAAAGCACAGAAAGTGTTTGAAGAGTTTAATGTTGACTTGCAAGAAGAGTTACCATCATTATGGTCAAGGTAAAGATATTTTTGTACGAGGGGTACATGTCCGTTTTAGAAGTTTAAGAATAGTGAATATTTCTTATCTTGTCTTTGTTGCCTGTGATAGTTTAGTGCTGTCCAGTGGAACTGTCCTATAATCTATGCTTTCTAGTATGGAAGCTACTTGCCACATGTGGCTGGCTATTGAACACTGGAATATAGCTGAATTTTAAATTAAATTTCTTTTGTATTAATTAATTTATCTTATTTTTTACAGATAAAGGAAAGGAGTCTTGATTTAAAAACTATACACCTTTGAAATAACAGGATTCTACATGCATTAGTACTTAAACCTATCAATTAAGGCTAAACTTCACACCTGAGTTCTATAATTCCCCCTGTTAATTTTTAATTATCTTATTTGTATAGGGTTAGTTTACAAACCGAAACAGCATAAGATCAAAAAGCTATGCAATTTTGGAAAAATGACAGGCTTCTACTTTGGAGCTTGTCTCCTGTAGAACACCCAAAAAATGATACCCCTGCCATTTTCCTCTAGGCCAGCCTGATCCTAGGCTGTGCCTGTAGTTCCTTCCCATCCAAAATACTATCCTCGGGGAAATGCAGGCAGTTGCACCACTATCGGCATCCTTGAGGTTGTTTTGATTTATTAAAATTTAAATAACCTCATGTAGCTAGTGGCAGCCATATTGAATGGCAGAGTTTTGACCTTGATATAGTTATCAAGTGAAGAACCAAATCTCAATCAGAGGCATTGGGAGAATTTCCCTTAATCTTGAAATTTACAAGAATACTCTTTTAATTCTTGGCAAAACTTCCTCTATTCCAATAGCTTATCTAGTCTTCTGGCTTTGATGCCAAGCCACTACTTTCAGCCCTTGACCTGTTAACATGAACTTCATCCCTAGTTTAGACACTAAATATTCTTTTTTACAGGTTTCCTGCATTTTTTATGGCAATTTACCAAGGCATTGGTGCATTTTCCATTTCTCATGGTATTAAGTAATTCTTGTTTACAGGTATTCTACATTTCTCGTGGCATTAAGTGCAATTTTCTTAATGTTAGAACCAAGAAGTTATTGGGTGGAGTGGGGCATATGTCTCTCAATTTCCACCAGCAACCCCCATGCTGTAACCCTAAATCAACAAAATAGTACTTACCATGCAACATTGTCAAAGTCAAATCCTCTAACCCAACTTCCAGCCAGATTATTGCCCCTAACATCTTCCTAAATTAAAATTCAAGAACTTCTATTTATTCTCCAAAATTATAATAATATTGAGGGTCTAGACAGAAATATTTTTTGTGTTCATTCCTAGGGTTTTTAATTTTTTTGTTAACAATAGGCCCTCAGAGTCTAGTTTTGAACTACTGAAAAATTTACAAGAAAGTTTAGACTGTAAGACATGTTTAGTGCAATGTCCAGCTATAACCCACAGTTTAACATGTGTGAAATTAACTCATTGCTGTGAATTTACTCATTCTTTCAACATCTGCATTTCTCTTTTTGGTACCATCATTCTTGGTCTTCCAGCCTCAAGATTTTATAACCTTAACTATGGGACTAAAGAACTGTCAAAGGAAATAATCTGTCCTTTATCTGTGTAATTTTCTTGATTGATCTTCCCATTTGTATTCTCATTGCTGCCATCCCTAACCCTTATCATCCTCTGTATATCATGAAGATAGTCTTGCCCTCATATTTCTGTCTTTGATATCTTCATCCTGTACACCTCTTCATTCAGAAGCCTCATTGTGACATCTCTGTAGTCTGCTTAGGAACTTACTATATACAAGGTCTGTCCAGATATAGTCCAGCCATTGTTAATATAACAAGAATGGTTTGTGCAACATTATTGTTACCAGGCAGCCAAGAAGAGTGGACTAGTATGCACATGCACATGAGTGAACAATGATGACTTCACTGTAATAGTCAGTGGGGGCATTAGACGCTGTTGAGTGAGTGTCTCTGTGTACTCTGTGGCTGTTGCATTCAAAATGACTGAGAGAGTAAAGCAATGTATCTGCATCAAATTTTGCATTAAACTTGGACATTCTCCCATGGAAACTATTTTGATGATTCAGAAGGATGCAGCTATGGGCAACTGGTGATTGGCAGCTTCATCACAACTACACACGCTCTCATGCATCACATTGTGTGCAGAGTTTTTTGGTGAAACATCAAGTCACTCGAATGACTCAGCCCCTCTACAGCCCAATTTGGCACTCTGAGACTTCTGGCCTTTCCCAAAACAAAAATCACTTTTGAAAGTGAAGAGATTTTAGACCATCAGTGAGATTCAGGAACATAAGACAGGGCAGCTGATGACAATTGGGAGAACTATGTGAAGTCCCAAGGTGTGTATTTTGAAGGGGACCGAGACATTATTGTCCTGTGTACAATGTTTCTTGTATCTTCTTCAACAAATATCTCTATTTTTTATATTACATGTCTGGATACCTTTTGGACAGACCACGTGTGTCCAAGAAAGACCTCACATCTCCTCAAAGAGCATTTTGAACAGCTTGAAATATAAATATATAGATGATATAAATATATTTATAATTTTAATAGTTCTTAATTACTAGTTAAAATCACAAATTATGTGAAATTATGTTTTTTAAGAAATATTATTGTTTGCATTCTTACATTTTAAGAAATACTTGTATCCAAAGTCTTTATCTATATCTTTGACACTCATCAAGTCAGCTGATACTTCTTTGGAGCGCCTCATCTTCCTCAACAGGTGTTCCATCTTAAACAAAGTTGTCATTTGCATACAGGCAGTTATTGTCATTTCTTCTGTAAAAGAACTTTTGGGATCTCAAACATAATTACACACTCCATAGCTTTTTAAACTGGACCTTGAAAAGGCTTGGGTACCATGATATTTAACACTTCCAATTATGAGACAATGCTCCTGGGAAAATTGCCAAAATTGTCAAAAGACAAATACATATTATTTGCCTTATATATATTGGATATGTAACAAAAATTTTAGTGCTCTTCATACATATCAAAATTAGCATTTACTGATGTACTCTGTGGCTTATGTGCCCTCCCCAAATAGTATTTGCTTATTCAAAATAAAGTTATTGTCAAACTGTCTTGAATGTGGAAGGCTTTGTAGGGACTTGAAAACAATGGGAATATTTAAGAAAATTTTGGACAGGAACCTTTCCCCTTATCTGGTCATATGCAGTATAAATGTTTCAGTGCTTTTAAATCCAGTCTAACTTCTCATATGGCACTCAAGGCTCTTTCTCTTTATGTTAATCAGGTTCTACACTTTGATCAAAACCCAACTCAGGCCTTTTCTTTTATATAATGTATTCCTTTACTAAACCCAAATTATTCAATCTCAATAATGATGCAAATTGTGTGTGTTTCATTTGAAAGAAAAAGAGAGATCATTATTGAAAACTTTGTTTTTTCCAGGTATCATTTTATGTGCTTTATATATAGTACATAGTCTCTAGTCATCACAATTACAGATCTCCATCCCCATTTTACAGATGAGGAAGCTAAAGATTATATTTGTTAAACACCTTGCCTAAGATTGTAAATTTTATAAATCCTTTTTTTGTTTCCCTAGTCTTTCATTATTGTCATGTGTTTCAAAAATAGGGAGAAGAGAAATGAAGTACTACCTAGTGGAGGTGTAGGTTCAATTTTAAAAGGAAATGCTAGGGTATGTTTGTGTGTTCTAAAGGAGCTTACAATTTTATAAGAGATGATAAAGAGGTGTCACAAATAAGGAAGGGCTCCAAAGAAAAGACTTGAGCTAAATCTCTTTAAATGAATAATATTGAATTTAGTAAAAAAGGTTTTCTACACTGAGGTAAAACATGAATAAAGGCATGGAGATTGAAGGAGATATTGTGGGTTCATAGAACTATATTTAGTTTTTGTAGCTGGAGGTCACAGTGAAAGTGTCCAGGAGGAAAGTTGTGGTGATAAAGCAGGAGAGAGGCAGTGGTCAGATTCAATTTCAATTCATTCAGCAGATACAGATTGGCCACCCATTATGTGCCAACCACTATTTTAGGCACTGAGTATTCTGTACTGAAGATTTTTGTATTTGGAGCTTTTGTATTTGGAGCTATAGGAAAAGGCAATGATCAAGAAAATAAATTAAGAATAAAATAATAAACAAAAAAGTTCAAGGTAGAATATAAAACAAGATAATTTAATAGAAAGTAACATGGGATGGGATAACTAGTGTAGATTGGGAAGTTCAGGAAGGGCTCCCTCATAGAGACTGACAATATGTAAGAAAAAAGAAGTTTTAGTAAACTACTGAGTTCTAGTATATATATATGTTGAGTTTGAAGAAACATCAGAAGGTCCAAAAGGACATATCTATTGAGCTAACTAAGTTAGGAGCTCAAAAAGAGTTTTGTTAGGGGTCATTATTATATGAGTGGTGGTTGATGTCATGAGACTTGATGATGTGTAGGTAATGAGATAGGTTCTGTTTTGGCAAGGTGAAGGCCAAAGCAGAACCTTTGGGAGCACCAATATTTAAGGAATGTGCAGAGGAGGGGTCTGTAGTGAAAGCTTGAGAATATGAAATAATTAGAAATGTACAAGGAGACTTGGAAGGGACCTGGTGGAGCAGTAGGTCAAAAAGCCAAGAACGGAGAGAACTTAAACAATGAGGGAGTGCCAGGAGTGACATTTACAACAGAAAGGTCAAGTAGATGAGAACTAAAGACACATTGCCATTTTGATGATGTTAGTTCTTCCAATCCATCAACAATTCCTTAGGATATAATGCTGGGATTATATCCTAAGAATCCTAAAACATCAATATCAAAGAACCTATGCACCACAATGTTCATAGCAGCACAATTTACAATAGCCAAGATTTGGAAGCAACCTAGGTGCCCATCAGTAAATGAATGGATCCAAAAATTGTGGTACATATACACAATGGAATTCTATGCTGCAGAGAGAAAGAAGGAGCTACTACCTTTTGCAACAACATGGATGAAACTGGAAAGCATTATG